TTTAAATTCTGATGGCGACATAACTTTAATTAATCATCTGTTAATGTTAGGTGCTTCAATACATATTCATCAAGTGCCACAGGGTGGAGCCATCACTCCTCAAGTGATGTCAGCTATCATGGGGGCCATCTCAAATCAAATGCCCCTAGGACCAGGAATTCCAGGAATGCCCCTGACTGGATCTAGGCCTCATCCAGGCCCAGTTGGATCTAGACCTGCTTCTAGTGGCAGTGCAAGGGGTGGTCCAACAAATGGGAATCAACAGCCTGCCAGTGCAACAGAAAGTACAAGGCCTACTGCAAATGGTAAATACACACTTGATCTTATTTGTGCAATAAGACATGGCGTGTTTAATTTCAAGTGTTCTTCAGATAATAATGATAATAAATTGTCATATCTATAAAGCACTTATAAAGCCAAAACAATTCTCCATTTCTGAAAGGTAAAATGGAAGATCAATTTCATTAAAAAAGAATAATAAATGTTTAGACTGAAGAAATTTTGGATGAGCAGAGCACTTAATAACAAGGGTAATTATTGTTTTTAGCATTATTTGTGGTATCCTTACCATTAATATTGTTATTTATGAAATTAATAACTATTCTTACGTACAGGTAATAGATCTGCTACCACCACTACTACCAGCACAGGTTCATCATCAAGCAGCAGAAGCACTCAACCTGGACCAGCTCAGACCCCACCCACGCAGAGAACTGGTGAAGCACCCCCACCAGGGGCTCCACTTGGACTCTTCAATTTCTTACCCCAGAACAATGCTTTTGATCCATTCTTACCCTGCCAGTCACGGCATATTCCAAGAAACCAGTCTGCGCAGCCCAGATCTGGAATGGCCCCAAATGTTGGAGGCGGGAATGTAGCATCGGTGAGTTTTGCGACTAAGTGCCTTTTTTTTTTCAAACATTGTTTTCTTTTTTCATATAAACCATTTTTATAGAAGTTAGTTTTTTATTTGTTTATTATTATGTACAACCCACTAAATTTACAATATATATTTTTTTTATTTGAGTTAGCTGCACTATAATATATAACTAAATGTAAATTATATATGTGTGTGTATCTTTGGATAGCCTGTCCATGGCATATTTCAAGATATTGTGGGTGCTTTTCAAAACATGCCTAATGTTGGCCAACAACAGCAGCAACAGCAGCAACAACCACCAGAGAGTTCGGGGGCTCAGCCGGCAACAACATCGAGTGCAACCCAATCTTCTGCCTCAACCACCCCACAGCCTATGACACAAGAACAGGCTAATTCATTTGCAAATGGTTTCCTTAGAGCTTTTGTTAATTCACAGTCAGGAGGTATGCTTCAACTTAACATATTATTGTTTTAAGTGTCAAAATGTGTTGCCCTTATGAACTGGTATTTAAATTAAGAAATGTAATCCTGTATTCTAATCAGCATATAATAATGTACATGAAATTCATCTGCTTTTTAGTTCCTATGCATGTAATGCAATAGGAACTATTGTAATCACTCTTGCTATTTCCTATGTTTTTTATTGTGTGTAGTGTGTATGTGTGTGTGTGTAGACATTTATGCAAATGCGCATGCGTCAAAGAAAAGTTTTCCGACATTTTGTTTTACATCGCGATACGAAGATCGATGTGAAGTTTCTGCAGAGTTCAGTCAGGGCTCACGCTAACCGACCGGAATGTCGGCATGGATGAAACTATTTTGGTTTTACGGCAAAAAAATCATCTGCTGTAGGCATAGGTAAAACTAAACTAAAATGTTTTAATACTTGCTGAAATTCATCGTTTCTTCATTTAGATCTCCATTTTTCACTTAGTCCATGCGACGTTTTTTTCTGTTGTATACGTATGAGTAGTCATATGAAGGTACTATATCCCCGACAGTTGGCTGTGCAGCAATGTACCCTTTGAATGCAAACTTAAAACAGGTGAAAATATAAAGGGAGCCGACTGTCGGGTACATAACGACTATCTAGCTTTCCACAAAAACATGAGGCCTAAGCTAGGCCTAGTTCAGTATTACTGCGATGCAAGGGTAGGCCTAGTTAGATCGTTCAATCAATGATATCGTGTTATCGTCTAATACAATTAAATAATGTGTGTAATATTTAAGAATGCACCATGTGGGTCGCTTTCTTTGTTATGCGGTTGTAGTGTAGTATACGTAGCAGAGTGACGACAGCAAGCTAAGCCTAGCCCAGGGCATAGATCGTGTACGTTCTTGATAATCGTAATGAAAACTTCGGGTGATAGACGATTGGGCCCAACTGGTGTGGACGATCGGACCCAAGATATTGTCAAATAAATTGTAGTCCTAATAGCAGGCCACTGCCAGCACCCCCACTTCCGATATCGTTCCAAACTACGTACTGCAAAATGAAAATACTGTATACGTAGCTAGGCCCTATGCCTACGATATTTTTTCAAAGAAATTTGTTAAAAATGTTACTGTAATTTGCCTGTCGAATTACATTACCAATGTAGTCTGAAATCAATATTTTGGGCCATAAAGACTCCCCCTGTATTTTTCAACCACCACACAAATTTGACCCAACCGTACATATAAGTATGTAAGTTATAATGTATGTATGCTGTCTCTTA